TAAACAAGTCAGTGAGTAAAAAATATATACATTGAATCATTAGGGAACTAATACGGTTAGAATAATAAAAACTATTCGGCATCTCCTCTGCAGTAAATGCCTTTAAAAACATTCTTCACCCTCTAACCTTTGAACAGCAAGGAACCTGAGAGATGTTTGTTTACTGCTCCACAAGCTGCAGCGGAGGCACTCGGCTTCTACAAGCCCTTGTTTCAATGAGCTCTTGCTGTGCTGTGTGTTCAGCACTCACAGTCACTCTTTCAGAGGTCAGAGTTTAATCTCTCTGGCAGATGCATTTTAAATAGAAAATATTCTTCCTTGGAAAAGGCTCTATAGCACTGACAGGGTTCCTGACATCATGGACCACTGCGGATTTACTAACCTGAATACATACATAATTGTGGTTAGTATTGGCTGAGCAGTAATGAGGATGCTGGCACAGTGGGTGCAATGACTTCCTGTGGCCTTCAAATCTGAGTTGCTCACTCAGCCCAGAGTCAACAGGAAAAGGTGATTCATAGTTCCTGCTGCCTCTACCTGCATGGAGAAAGTGTTGACAGTTGACTCAGTTTTCCTTTTCACCTATAAAAGAGTAATATTTGTATAGCTTTAAAATGTATGCAAGAGACTGAGTACATATCTTGTACTTCTCTTTTATATTGCTGAAAAGATTTCACAGAACAAAAGATGTGCCAAACTTTCTACTACTGCAAAGTAAATTTAAAGGAGCTTCTCCTGTTTTTACAACTGGCCATTTCCCATTTACCTAAAAGTCAATCAATGGTTAGCCCCTGAAATAATCGCAGTCCTACCAGATTTGCTGAGACATTCAATCTAGAAGGCCTTGAACCTCTCATTGGGCCTTGGAGTTCCACGATGGGCATGAGGTGGACTCACTCTGGAGTCACAACACTTGTTAATGGAGCTGGTGCTTCAGCAAACAAGCTGTCCCCTCAGCTTGGCATTTTGACTGCACGAGGCCCTGATCAGCACTGTTCCAAGCTCTCCCAGCACAGCTTGCTTGCTCTCCCTCTGACTTTCTCTTTGTTTAAGATTATTTTCTAAGATACATCTCACCTTATGTAAAATGGTCAGCATAAGCTAAACCGTGAGAGTCTGTCCTGCAGCATGAGTGTTTGCTGCTTTGGGGTTCTCAGGATGTCAGACGCGGGGCCGTGTCCTCATCCTGCCTGAGTCACCCAGCAGGTGGTGATCGGGGCAGTCAGGTGACTCAGGTCGGGAGTGGCTTCTTGGATCAGAATCTTGCTTAGGTTTTGACCTGTTGAATCAGACTATGCCCTGGGGAAGTTATTACTTCTTCAAGCATTCTGGCTTCTCATTTACTTCTTAACAGCGAGAATATGGCTGCCTTTGGAACCAGGCAGATACATGTTCACACTCTTACCTCTCCAGCATGTTATTAATAATTCTTTGACCTGAGCAGGTACTGAATGTCTCTACAGCTCGGCTACCTGGCAGGTTAGAGTGGTGATCCTCATAGACTGTGCAAGGGTTCCATGGAGCAACCAAGGTGAGCAGCTCATCTTGCTCCTGGTGCAGGCGCCTGGGAAACGCGGCTTCTTCCACGGAGCTGGGTCCTCCTAGAAGCAGAACCAACATAGGAGAAGCATCTATCCCTTCTTAATCCGTACCACATGACCTTCCCACCAGACAGGAAACACCCTACCTAAGCTGCCCTGGTTTAAGGCAATAGTGAAAACACCAAACCCTTATTGATAAAAACTTATAGTTCTGTGCTCACAGTAGTTTTGGCATTAATTCCCTCAGAGTAGAAACTAAACTGAAATTGAGAACTTGACACTGAGATATGTGTTAATCAAGGTGCCCTGTTAGGGTTTCCAATCCTTCCAATTTGCCAGGGACTGATGATTTTCCTAGGATACCAGAAAGTTTCCGGCAAACAGGCAGCTGGCTGCCCTCTCATGTTCAGCAACTAGGGCAGCGTTGGGAAGGTGCCTGGGACAGGTGAGAGGGGTCTGCCTCCGGGGGGCTGGGAGGGTGATGCATAGTCTCCAATGTTCCTTCCATTTGAGAATTGGTGGTCCCGGGTCCCTGCCCACCTTGGCAGATGCTCACATGGGCAGTCTGTCTGGCCCTGACTCACACCTGCAAGAAGTGGGCTCTCTCCAGGCACCTCAAGCAAACCCTGTTCTGGACTGTCTGTGCTGCGGTCCTGAGGGCCTGCACCCAGCCATCACCTGCAAGGGTGTGTCAAAGACACAGCTCAGAAGGCACTCAGAGGAGACTCGTGGGAGGGTCTGCTCTGCCCTGTGACATCCCCTATTTTTGCTACTTTGACTTTTTATTCCATTTGAAAAGCGGACTTCCTCTAAAAGTCAGGAAGGCCACACAGTCCTTTACAACAAACAACGTTCTGGTTGGCTAAAGACCAAGCTCTGAGGCCCCATTTGTAGTGTGTCTGCTTTTTCTTCAATTTAGACTTCAAATGAACTTGAAGGGTGAAGGACCTCCAGGGATTGAAATAAGCCATTTGTATTTTGCATATTTTATTTCCCATAGCTTGATTTTTTTTTTTTTTTTTTTTGGACCTTCAGATTTCATTTATGGTTCAGACTGGCCAACAAATAGAACCCACAAACCAAGAGGGTCATATTGAAATTCATGAATCAGGCTTCTGATTCTACTACCTTACTCAGCTTCATTTCCACCCTCTCCTTCCTTCCTTCCATCTGCATGTTTCCCATCCCTAACATCAAACTGCCTGTGTATCCTTACTAAATATCTAACCCTTTTAGAATGTAAGCTTATAATGGCAAGGAGCCTGGGGAGCCCCACTGTACAGTATTTGGCACCTCAATAAGTATGGCAGAAAGTGAAGGAGAACTAAAGAACCTCTTGATGAAAATGAAAGAGGAGAGTGAAAAGTTGGCTTAAAGCTCAACATTCAGAAAACTAAGATCATGGCATCTGGTCCCATTACTTCATGGCAAATAGAAAGGGAAACAGTGGAAACAGTGGCTGACTTTACTTCTTTGGGCTTCAAAATCACTGCAGATGGTGACTGCAGTCATGAAATTAAAAGATGCTTACTCCTTGGAAGGAAAGTTATGACCAACTTAGACAGCATATTAGAAAGCAGAGACATTACTTTGCCAACAAAGGTCCATGTAGTCAAGGCTATGGTTTTTCCAGTGGTCACGTATGGATGTGAGAGTTGAACTGTAAAGAAAACTGAGCACCGAAGAATTGATGCTTTTGAACTGTGGTGTTGGAGAAGACTCTTGAGAGTTTCTTGGACTGCAAGGAGATCCAACCAGTGCATCCTAAAGGAGATCAGTCCTGAGTGTTCATTGGAAGGACTGATGTTGAAGCTGAAACTCCAATACTTTGGCCACCTGATGCGAAGAGCTGACTTTCGAAAAGACCCTGATGCTGGGAAAGATTGAGGGCAGGATGAGATGGTTGGACGGCATCACTGACTCAATGGACATGGGTTTGGGTAAACTCCAGGAATTGATGATGGACATGGAGGCCTGGCGTGCTGCAGTTCATGAGGTCGCAAAGAGTTGGACACGACTGAGTGACTGAATTGAACTGAACTGAACTGAAGTGAGCATCTGTGATTCTGCCATCATCAGTGGGCTGTCCTTGGTCACCATGACTGAGTGACTGAATTGAACTGAACTGAAGTGAGCATCTGTGATTCTGCCATCATCAGTGGGCTGTCCTTGGTCACAGCCGCTAGTGCCCAGAAGCATGAGAGCTTCAGCAGCAGGCTGTGGGTTTACTGGTAATTTCCAATCTGGCACTTGAAATGAGTCTTACTTAAGCTCAAAATTGAGCATCCCTCAAGCTTGCCTTTCCAGATCTGCTTCTTCAGCCTGGGTTCTCACTTTCTAAAATAATTACTATTCTGTTTTGACTTAAAGATGAATAGTTATCAATGGTTTAATACATTCTCACCCCCAGAAAGCATTTCAATTTTAATGACAGTTTTCAAGGAGATAACACAAAGATGACCACTGTAGAACTGGGGGCATTGTAGCAGATAGTCAGGAAAATATTATTGAGTAGGAGTACATTTTCTGATGTTTCTGTATTTTCTCCCCATGAGCTGTTCCCTCCTACTTCCACAACCAGAGGTGTAAGCTCCTGGTGGAGAACTTAATTCCCTTCTCGTTTGATATTTCCAATCTGGAACATTTAATGATTATATAAATTTATTTCACCACTGGAAACGCAAGCAAAGTTTAAACACTTAACCACTGTGCATGACTTTGTTTTTCACAAAGGGAAACAGAAGAGTAAGAACTCATGTTTGCCTGAAGGAAGAAAACGACAGCTGCTACTGGATTCTGCAATGGAAGCCACACAGCACAACACTGGGACTGTTTCTGAATAGTTCCAGTTGCTCCAGCCCGTGAGGTTTTGTCCATTATCTCCGTGGAAATACAGGATGAACCATTTATTCTCCTTAAGAACCCTTAAGGTTCTCCCTAAGGATCTTTGGATGCTTCTGTGGAGTTCTGTAAGCCACTGTAGGACTTAAAGAGCAGCCAGGCAGGCTCAGTGAGAAGAGTGACTTAGACACTGTGGCTGAGGCCCTCGTCTCCGTCTCCCATTTGAGCAGATACAGACAGCAAAGCTGATGCGCATGGAGTCTGCCTTCACCAATGAGTTAACTAACAGGAAAGGTTACAAACTATACTCTCATTTTACCTTTGAATTCATTTTACAATGATAATATTAATAAGCCACGAAGAAAAAAAATTAGCAAAAGACTGATGAAAGAAAGAAAACCGATGTTCAACCTGATTAATTGTATCCATCTCCAGAAGAACTGGAGACTGTAGATGTCACATGATTCTGCTAGTCCAGGCTTTAGAATGCACTCTTCATTGTGACTGATAATCTGCTCCAATATTTAGGAGGAAAGGAGAAAGTAAAAGATATGAGTAGTTACAATAACCATACCCTTGTTTCAATTTTTTCATATTGTACAAATTCACAAAGCTATATTAAAAATAACAAAAAATAATTTATTTCTTTGATTCAGAATATACAATATTGCACTCATGTTGCAAGTAGTGTGTGAAAAAAGAACTCTATTTAGACTGCCATAACAACTGTCTGGGCCTGATATTTCATGGCGTCACCAACAATAACTGTAGCACTGCCCTTTAACCCACTGAAAAGGGCAATGCTTGATAAAGCCTTCTTTTTATTCCAGTGTCAGTGACCAGCAGTTTAAAAACTATATGCATAATGAGGAAACTTCAGTTATATAACTACCTTTCAGTAACATAACTACCTTTAAGTCTGAGGCACTGGTGATCTGTATCCATATATTAAAGAACTAGATACTGTCAAGCTGTTTCCCAGGTTTTATCAATAATTTTTCAACAACTTTTCCTTTCCATTGTACTTAATCATGTTACCTAATATGCTATTATTTCCTGAACAAATGAAACTATTTTGCAGCAATAACTATTGTTCATCCCTGTGAAAAGCAGTTATAAACTTTTTTATTCAGACTGAGCTACAAATTCTGATTTTCTCAGTCACTCAGCAATTCAGAGTTAGGAAAGGATTTCCTGCCTCCAGCCACATACTCAGGCCCTGAGCTGAGGCCTGAATCCAGACAGACAAGAGGGAGTGTTAACCTGATCCTGCTGGGGTCTGGGGACACCCCGTTCCTGCCTCACACACCCCCCTGACGTTTACTTCCTAGAGTCACTGTCACTGATACGCAAATGCTTCTGGAAGATCTCAGCGCTTTTAAACAGCAACCAATTTGTTTTTCTGCTTTTCGTCTATTACACTGGTGGTTGGTAGCTGCTTCTGCTGCTTAGTCACTTCAGTCATGTCCAACTCTGTGAGACCCTACGGCCTGCAGCCTGACAGGCTTCTCTGTTCATGGGATTCTCTAGGCAAGAGTACTGGAGTGGGTTGCCATGCATTCCTCCAGGGCACCTCCAGGACCCAGGGGCCGAACCCGCGTCTCCTGCATCTCCTGCATCTCCTGCAATGCAGGCAAACTCTTTACTGCTGAGCCAGCAGTGAAGCCCACAGGAACGGCAGAGTTCCCATCATTCTGATCTCAGACAAATCTGACCTAGGACACACTGCATCCTATTCTGACAGTAGAAAGGCACATAACAATTTCGCTTAAAAAATTCACATAAAAAATTAATAGAACCTGCAAATAGGGAAACTCCAAATACAAAAAGATCCTTAAAGAAAATTCTCATCTTTGACATTGTCTTTTAAATTAAGTATAATCCAGTGAATAGTGAACACCAAAATAGCAGCATAAAAACAAAGGGGAAATTTCCTTAGCGCAGAGAACCTTTGTCTTCACAGAGTCTACACTGAAGAAGTGCCCGCTCCAAATGTACAGCCGTGACTTACTGACAAACTAGTCCCTACAGTACTGAGCACAGGACAGAGTGCCACACATGCCGCCGACAGTCAAACAGAAACTTTAATTAAACAACATACAAAAAGATAACCAAGGACAGAATGACTTAAAATTATACTGATAAAAACCAAAACCATATGAAATGTAGGAAAACTATTTGAAGACCAATACTTCTGTAAAAATAAATATTTAACTCTAGGACCTATTCTCACAGCAAGTTACAAAAATAGAATACAGTATTAAACAAATACATGAATATATCAAAATTGGTTTATAGAACATTTTACTTTTGAGAAACCTATTTCTCTTCCCTCCCTGTTCTAATAATTATGTTCTTAGGTATATTTTGATAAAACACTGTGAGCTTTGACTGGATGACAGATGGTCTTTGGGTTGTTTTCACAGATACAAAATCTCTCTCAGAAGGTTCTGAACTTGAAATTTATTTGCTCTGAGTGTCACAAGCTGGGACAGATTTAGAGTCACAGTAACTCCTTACCAACAACACTCCAATCCGACAGTCTCCCAGCCATCCAAGGGACTGCCCCTTGTTTCAAACATCCTATTCAGACAGAGTGAACTGCTGCCAAATTTGGAATGATTGCATGATAGATGAGGGTGTGAATTAGACCAAAATGTAGGGCATTTCACATGCCGTGAGTCCATGTTCTGCCTAAATAGAGGTCTTTTTTATCCTTTTCGGAAGTTGGGGACAGGAGAACCATGGAGGCATATTTGACACAGCGCTGCGGAAGAGGACCACTGATGCAGATTTGAAGGAAGGAAGCTTCAGTATTCTTCTGCCAACTCTCAGTAAACCGCCCAGGTACACAAAAAGGTTTTCTAGCAGTATTCCAACTCTTTATCTTTTTATGTTACCACTGCATGTCTACAGCCCAACAGGAGTGGCATTCATAGTGATCCTGCAGCTCTCAAGTGGTTTTAAAAGTGCTTTCTGATTCACTTCATAAGATGATCAATTGCACAGCTGGGAATTCACTGTAGTTTATGGTGCGGCGATACTTAGAAAAGGAGGTCTACGTGTGAATGTGCAAGTGTGAGCATGTGTTTGCTCTTTGTTAACCACAGTATTTGTGTAGAATACATTGTCTTATGATCACAGAACTTTGATTTAAATAGTGCCAATCTGTCCAGTATGATTGAAAGCAGTAAATACCATGGCATTTGTGTTTGAATTTCATGCTCTTTGCCTTTTTTCTTTTCAAAATTAATTATCATTAAAATGTATCATGGTACCTATTTGTCAGCAAGCCACTCAAAAAGATGCCCTTGAAAATCTTTCCAAGCAGCTTTTCCTTCTTCTGCTGCCCTCTGGAAGCAAAAATAGATCCACCTAACACAAGAAAATATTTACCAGAGCTTCAGCTGTGTCATAACAGTTGAAACTCAGCTTATTTCCAAGTTCTGTGTTCCCACCTTCTCCACAGCATTTCAAACCTTCTGAAATGACAAGCTTCTTTAATGGTGTGTTTTATTCCTGGGAAAAGAGCAATTATATGGATACTTGGGTACTCTAGATAAAACCTGGCAGTGAAGATGGGCCTCCGGTCCCAGTCATCCAGACATACTGCAAGGAGTCCCCATCGTCCAGAAGGTTTGCTTCCTGAGGAGTAAGGAAAAAGCTGTCAATCAACACCAGTCTAGTCAAAAGTTATAAAGCCAAGCATTGAATTACAAAGTTTGGTCCCTGCAGTCTTTGGTTTAATGATACTTTCTGTATTTCAAACATCTCCTTTGCACATTTAAAAATGTGAAAAGAAATCAGTAGCAAACATAGCTATCATCTGGTTGCTCTGTATCCATTTCCCTGTAGGCCTTTTTCTGAGGCAGTAAAGAAAAATTTCTTTGAATGTTGATCGGTAAGGCCAGTGCTCACTAGTACAGAGCTGGACAACAAAATAGAACACAAAGCAAGCAATACAAATAAAATTTAAATGGCAAACAGATTCTGCCCTTTCAAACACAGTTCTCTCTGAAAGACTCAGGGGCTGGCCTGAAGATGGAGGTAGCCTTATTACAGCTACAGTCACTACGTTCACCTAAAATGCACTCCTAGTTGGTGAGTACGAGCTTCCAAGCTAGTTGGAAAAGACAGAAGAAGAAAAGCAGGAGTGTCCCAGTTTGTCTGCTCTATGCTCCATGGCATCTGTGCAGATGTTGAGACAGTTCTACCTCCCAGCTTCCAGTTACCCCACATTATCAAAGAGAAATGTGAAAAGAGCTGGGGAATGTCTGATATTTTTGCTTTTAAATTGAACATTTATTGCTACAAAATTCAAAGGACAAGTTGCCATTCTTTTATAACAATATTAAAATCAGTAACATATATTCTGTGCAAAAGAGAGAAAACCAGAAACCTAAATTTTGGCAAGGCCTCCCATTTTAATGAATTGAAGGTCGGGAAGATGATTAAACACAAGTAGACAGAAGAGTGGTTTTCATGAATTTTACACTGGGAAATAGAATACCAAAATTACCCATGTGTAAGTATTAGTCATGGAGCCCAATGGAATCACATGCAGCTTCTATAAGTCATCCTCTAGCTCTGATGGTCTCACTTTTGAAAAGTAAATATTTTTAATCCATGGGGTAATAAATTTATGAACTTCTTATTTAATTCTGGATGGAATATTTTTATTTTACTTTATAGTACCTCTATCTACCAAGGGGACAAAACCCTTCACATAAAATGTATTTTCTTTTTCACCTAGAAAAGACATCTTCGTTCATCTCAAATTTTCATGAAATCCTAAAATACATCTGTATGGATTCCACAGATGTCACAATAAATGTCACAATAAACTAGAGAAAAATTGCAGCTGTAGGTTTTTTTCCACAGCTTCCAGAAGCTAGGGAACTATTCTCAGGCAAGTAATCCTGTGATGAAATCCTGTGGTTTTGTTCAGGCTGCCAGAAGACCCCGGCGCCAACGAAGGTGAAGGGTCTGGAGTCTGTCCTGACTCTTTTTCAGAGGGGATTTCATGTCTGAAGGTGGTGAATCGAGGGGACTGTGGTCAGGACAGACACTGTCCTCATTTGGAGAATGAGGACAATCCACTGGGATCCATGACTGATAATTTTGGTATTCTATTTCCCACTGTAAAATTTATGAAAATCACTCTTCTGTCTACTGGTGTTTAATCACCTTCCTGTCCTTCAATTCATTAAAACAGGAGGCCTGCCATAAGTTGGAGAAAGGACATGCATTTCTTCCTCACAATTCTCCAAGCAGCAAGCCCTTAGGTCTCTTGGGTTGAAGTTCAAAGAACTTGAGCTGTTTAGAGTCTATGAGGGTAAATTTGTACAGAAAATCTTTACAGAGCTGGTGCTTGCCAATGACACAGGGCAAATTGGGCAGGTTCTGTGTAACAACTATCTCCCTTCTCTGTACAATACCATGAAACAGATCAGAAGACAGGTGACACAGTCCTCCACTTGAAAAAGCAGCACTGTGAAGAGGGAGGGAGCTGGTGAGTGAGTGCACCACTGTTCTCCTGCAGAGTCATCCTGGGCAGTCCCCTAACCCCGTGTCACTTTCCTCTGGCCTCGACTAACTTCCCTTTGCCATAAAAGTCATGTCGTAATAGAAAACAGTTTTTTTTGTTATTGTTGTTATTGTTGTTTTACTCTTCTCGGTTACAGTCATGGAACACAGACAGACACCTGTTCGACTATATGGAATTACAAAGAATAGAGGTTGGAAACCCTCTGCTATCCGTGTTCATTTTATGGATAATGGGAGCCTAAGCTAAAAGTGGGGGAGTGATTGCTAACAGAAGACAGGCTCCCAACTCCCCACCGAGGGCTCCATCTGCTACACCATGACCCTCTGGGACAAGCCAGCCTCTGCAGTTTCCCTCTGCCATATCAAGGTGTTCACGGCCAACCCTAACCCTGGCCAGCAGTCACTCACCTCAGGACCCAAGACAACTGGTGAAAAATACCACTTAATGTACTGCTTTTAGTTTAAATTCTGATTGCCTTTATACATTCCATGGGGACTCAGGTTAGGGGAAATGCAATAATCCTCAATAAACTACAAGGGAGTCTGTAAGTCATGACCCTTCTGAATTCAAAAGAAACACTGAACCCTTCTCTCTTTGTGAATTGTCACATCTGTATTAAGACCATGGACACTTGGGGAAGTTAGGCATTTTTCAGGCCTCAAACACAGGTGAGCTGTGTGCAAACACATCTTAGGGCAGACTCCCCCACCATGCTGAAGACTGACACCATGTCTTAAATTAGTTTATCTCAAGGGCAGACAAAATACTTCCATCACAGTAACTTTACAAACACTTACAGCAAGTTGTCAGTGCAGGGTCAGAAAAATCAAGATGCTGTAGTGCTTAAAATCTTGGTTCTCAAAGAGAACCCTGAAAAGGTATCTTCCCTTCTCCCTTGACTACCCCAGAAATACCCTCTCCACAGAGGTGACAATGAAAATAAACATTCCTTAGTTCCTTGAGGAAAAAGAACTTCCTGAGATCAGCTTTGAGATACTGACTCCAAGGGGAAGAAATGCACCTCCCCTGCTATCATCAGAGGCAAATAAAATACACAATCACTGCCAAGGAGAACTCTAAGACATTAGTTATGATCTAGTCCCTCCCTCAATTCAAAAAACTGAAGCTCTTTCTGCCCCAACGCATCTCCTTAGAAAGGTCTCAAAACAATTTGAAGAAAATTTAGGCAAAAATCTTTTACAGCTAAATGAGTGTCAAAGCTGAGAAGATCCTGTAGAGAAGTCCTCCTCCCTCTCGGTTTGGCGAAGGCCTCCCGGAAGCGCACAGCCTTCCTTTCTGGGGAGGGGAGATCGCAGTCCCCCAAGGGCCCACGCGGACCAGTCAGCGGGCACCAAAGCTCTGGACCCACGCAGGGCCCTCAGGCTATTTCAGCGCAGGGAAACAGCAGAGGTGTAAAAGCACTTTCTGACGGAGCGTTTAGAATGCCAATTTCTCCTCTTTCTACAGTAATAAGCCAACTGGGATGCACTTAGTGTACAGAGTTAACTTTCCTGGCAGCCAGAAGCCGCACACTCCAGAGAACCGGCACAGGCCGGGTCTGGCAGTCCTCTGACGCAGGCGCCCTGCGGCTCTATCTCTAGAAGGCAGGGTCCCCCAGCTCGGCCCCTCCCCAGGACCTCACAGACACCCCTCCCGGCCCCGGACGCACACCTCGGCCCGATTCTCCTGGGGCGGGCTGTCACGCCGGGCCCTGCAGCCCCTGGCCGGGCGTCTCCTTGGCCTTCTTACAGGTGTACAGCCACTTGATGATGCGCGCGTTCCGCTCGACCACCGAGGTGGTGCTGGGCACCTGCTCCGTCAGCTCCTCCTCCTGCAGCCCCTCGTCTTCCCCGCTGCGCCGGGAGAAGCCGCTGTCGGAGGTGGCCACGCTCACGCTGCGGACCTTGAGGGCGCCGCGGTCCGACCCGGCCGAGAAGTTCTCCCGCCCGAGCGCCTCCACCACGTCGGGTTCCAGGCCGCAGTACTGGAAGAAAGTGTCCGATTCGGCCAAGGACGCGGAGTAGCGCGAGCTGAGGTCAGACTGAGAGCGCTGTAGCCCCAGGCGCCTCACCCCCAGCAGCTCCGCGCCGCCGGGCGCAGCCGAGACCCTTGGGGTCGTCCCGACGGACCGCGCGGGCGCGGGAGGCGCGGAGGGGCCAGGCTCGGCCCGGGCGGCCCCCTGGGCCCTGACCCCCAACTCCGCTCCCACCCGGGCGGCGCTAGGAGGCTCGGGCGTCTTGTCCTTGCTCGGCCCCTGGAAGAGCTTCTTCACCAGGCTTGCCCTGGGGCTGTCGGCTCCTGACGCTCGGGCGAACTCGCACTTCTGACGGTAGATGACCAGCGAGTCAGGCCTTAGCGGCTTCCGCGCTATAGCCCTGCGCACCCCGGGCCCGGGGACGCGCGCCTGCCCTCCGGTCGCCTCGGGGCTGCTGCCCCCGCCAGCCGGGCCTGATCCGGCCCCGGGCGGGCCGCGCACATACTTGGCGCGGTCGGCCGCCAGCCTCTCCACCGCGCTCCTGCGAACCGGCCCAGTCGCGTCCGGGGCCGCAGGGGACCCGGAGTCCGAGGCCAAGAGCCGCGGGCTCGCAGGCGCGTCCAGGGCGCGCATCCTCCAGGACCGGCCCACTGCGGAGACGCTCTCGGACTGCGTGCGGTCGTCTGCGGACCAGCTCCGAAGTCAGTTCCGTGTGGGCAGCGGCGCCCGGGTGCTCGGCCGCCCAGGGCGGGGGCAGAGTCCGGTCGGACTGGCGAACCGCCCGCCGGCCCCGCCCCTCCCGGCCCGCCCTCGCCTCGCGTCGGGACCGCCCGCCCGTTCTGGGTCCCGCCGGGCTTCGCGCAGACCTGCTCCGGAGGCAGCGCCGAGCCCCGCGGGCCTGTAGGGTAAAGGGGCGGGGAGGGGCCGAGTCGGTGCGGCCCTGGGGGCCCGCCGCCCCTTCCAGGCCGCGGGGCGCGGTCACCTCCGACACCGGCACTTCCGGAGAGGGGAGGGCCGAGCAGCTCCGGCGCCATCCCCCCCCACTCGGCAGGTGTCTCCTGCCCTTTGAATTCTTAAAGTGACCTCGGGATGTTTGAGAAAAGTGACTTTAATTTCCTGGAGTGCTCTTGCAGGGCACTCCTCTTAAACTGTAGGAAAGGAAAGGCTATGACGCGTCGCAGCACAGGTCAGTCTGTGTGTCAGGCAGAAGGGAACCAGGAACCGGGACTGGCTCCGGGCTCAGCCAGACGGCCTGCCGGTGACCCGACCAGACTGGACCGTCTGATGCCGGGACTCGCGGGAGAGCAGCGACTGCGGAGGCAAAGCTCAGGGATTCAGGAAAAGCCTGAACACATTCCCAGAAGACTGCTGTTTTTACCGTAATCAGTGTAACAGGGAAACCACGGCTTCACCAGGGGAGTGAATCAGTCTAGGAATGCTGAAAAAGTCTAAGGGAAAACATTTCCAAAATTCCATTCTTTCAAAAGTTGGACAAAGGACTAATAATATCTGCCAGACGAGTGATACGTCCACGTTATCTCCTGTGAAAGCCAACTCCGTGCTACGCTGACCTTTCAAAGTTGTGTTTGAGTGCGCCTGGTGCGGGGCAACACAGCAACGCCTGGCTGCAGACAGGAAGTTGCCTTAGGTCTGGGTCTGATGTTTGTTTTTTTGTTTGTTTTTTTTTTTAACAGAAATGCCAATGGGCACCAAGCCTACTGGTAGTGAGTGAGCAGGGGCAGAAGCTCAATGATTTCAAACAGGTTTGGCAACCACCGCCACCCAGAATCCTAGCAAGTGCCAAATGGGTCTTCAGATCTTGAGTTTCCCTGCGGTCATATCCTATAGTCAGTGATAGAAACACAAGAAACCTGGTCTCCTGAGAACCAGGCTACCCACTTAGTGTCACCAGAAAATGCCACACTGACGTAAAAAGATGAATGTGGTCCTGAAACTGGCAGAGAGAGATGGAGCCTCTGCTAGCTCCAGGCAGGGATGGACAGATAGCATACTGGTGGTGGGAGGACCTGGTGGGAACCCAAAGCCCAGCTTTTACTCAAGCCACTTTGTCTGCTGTCAGTCAGAGAAAAAACATATTTTTAATTGCTTAGCCCCAAACGCCTCCTTTCTGTGTTTACACTGGGGCGGTTGCAGCAGTTCAGAGAGAGAAAACTCCTAAGCATAGCGTATCTGGAATTTGTCTGAGCCTGGGTCCACCATTTCTTAGCTATGTTCCATTGGACAGAAAACAAATCTCTCAGGGCCTTTGCTGTGTCATTTGTAAAAATCTTCATTTGTATAGTTTAGAACATTTTGTAAAAATCTTCATTTGTATAGTTTAGAACATTGACTGCTTTTTAGTGAGCACTAAATGAGGTCCCTGCCCTGGCTTCTGGAGAGGCTGTCAGGTTGAACTTCTCAGTGTCTCTTATTAGGGTCAGGTTGCTCCTCTGTAAACTAGACCTCAGTACTTCCACCTGCTAGGACATTTATTAATGAGATTATGCATATAAAGGACTTAGCACTATGTCTGGTACAGATCAAATTTTCTTTTTAAAATTTTTTTTATTTGGAAGACAATTGCTTTACAGCACAGACCAATTTTCAATAAATGAATGTTTTAATTATGGTGGTTATGATTAGTGGATTATCACGTTTTAAATAAGGTTAGTGAGTTCACATATGAGTATTAAATAAAACTACTATAAAGTTGTATTTAAGACATATATATTAAGATACAGATGAGAAAATTTTCTCCATAAATTTTTCTCACTGTTCTGTTGGTAGCTTAGACTTTGAGCCTCATTTATCCCTGGCATCATCTCCAAAGACATGATCAGAGCAGGAATAATGCTTACAGACCTAATGATCCAGAAACTCTCCTCCAGAGAATATGTCCTATGGAGCTAAGAAAAGATGTGTTCATGATATGAAGATATTCACTGCAGACAAGCAGTTGAAATCAACCTACATTCAACAAAAGGAAGAAAGCTAGATAGTGGATGACATACCCATGGGATGGAGCACCATGCAACCATTTACAGTCATGCTTCCATAGGATATTATATGGAGTGCAAAATGATTGGGATATATGTGAAATTTTGAAAACAGGGCAAATATAGTGGCAGTCTTGAGTAAATAGCTAAATATCATGAAACCTACAAAGACTAAGTCATGGTGAAATAGAAAATCCACATAGACCTATAGCTAGTAGGAGATTGAATGAGATATCAGATGTCTCCCATCAAAGAAAAACCTTGTACCTGATTATTGACTGACAATAGAACTGACAATAGTTCTTCTTTTAAATGAGAACTAATAACCAATTGTTCTTAACTTTTCACCAAAAAGTGAAGAGGAGGGAACACTTCCTAACTCGTTCTATAAGGTCTGCATTCCCCTCGTACCAAAATCAGGCAAAGATAAAATAAGAAATCTACATATTAATATCCCTTATGAACATCAATGCAAAATTGCTTAACAAAATACTAACAAGCATAATTCAGCAGCATATTAAAAGGATTATCTACAAGTGGGTTTTATTTCTGGAATGCAAGGGTGGTTCAAAGTATAAAAATAAAACAATATAATATCAACAGAGTGAAGAGAAAAACATATAAGGTCATTACAATCAATTCAAAAAAAGCACTTGACAAAATTCAACGTACTTTCAAAATAAAAACACTCAACAAACTAAGAATAGAAGGAAATTACTTCAATGTAATAAAAGTCATATGTGAAAAAGCTAGAGTGAACATTAAACTCAACAGTAAGAACCTGAAAGGTTTTTCTCTAAGGTTAGAAACAGGGCAAGGGTGCCTGCTTTCACCACTTCTATTCAGTGTAGTACTGAAAGTTCTAGCCAGAGTAATATGGCAAGAAAAAGACACAAAAGCCATACAAATTAGAAAGGAAGAAGTAAAATTTCCTCTGTTTGCAGATGATGTGATCTTATATGCAGCAAATGCTGAAGATTCCAGAAAAAAAAAAAAACTGTTAGAAAAAAAATTCAGGAAAGTAGGAGGATGCAGGTTAACACACAAAAATCAACTGCACTTATATATACTAACTGATCAATCTGAAAAGAAAATTACAAAACAATTGCATTTACTATGGTATGCAAATAATAAGTAAAATATTTAGGAATTAAACCAAGAGATAAAAGACTTATATGATGACACTACAAAACACCACTGACTCACCACTACTATTCAACATAGTTTTAGAAGTTTTGGCCACAGCAATCAGGGCAGAAAAAGAAGTAAAAGGAATCCAGATAGGAAAAGAAGAAGTGAAACTCTCTCTGTTTGCAGATGACATGATCCTCTACATAGAAAACCCTAAAGACTCTACCAGAAAATTACTAGAGCTAATCAA